CTCCCCCCCCCCTCCTCCTCCTAAAGAAACGAAAGCTGTGAGTACAGAAAGTAAATAGAAAATGAAAAGTATTGCTAGGATCTGAGCCCTCGACAATGCTGCAAAGGCCCATTCTGCCCGCCGTATGTGAAGGCAGGCCTGATATTGTCACTGCGGCCTATTTTGGCCTTGTCTGAGAGCAACGGGGCCCCATGCAGTTTCAGAAAGGAAAGCTCCAGAGATTTTGCCCGCGAGTTGGTTGCTGGACGGGAGCTTAGAAAAGCCCCATGCACTGGATGCTGCATCACAGCATCTTCGACTACGGGTAGGGACCGACAGTTGAAGACGCTGCCAGCCTCAGATGCTGGGGCCCAGGACCCTTACAGTTGAGCCCCAGGCACATTCTGGAAGGGCCCTGGAGCGCAGCTACTGGTCTGTGCATGTCCAGTCCAGCCAGGCCCTTGCCCACCCAGCTACATTCCATATAGGGAAGTGGGCGGCCAGAGCCAGACACATTCTGGCTGGCTCTTGTGCGGCAGCGTTGCTCCAGCACATGCCAGTGAGACAGAGCCTGGCTGGAGTGGGCGCAGGCGCTTGGGGAAAAAGCCGCTGGTTGCAGCTGGGGGCAGCGGCCAAAAGTCGGGCTGCTTGGGAAGAAGCCGGTGGAGGAGAGGTGCTGGTCCTGGGCGATTGTGAGAAGCCTGGATGGGAAGACGGGTGATGAGCGGTGAGAGAAGGGAAGTACCTGGCGATGGTGTTGAGCCGTGTGAGCCGGTGTCTTCGCTCGTCATCAACACTGTACTTCATGAAGACCTGTTGTTGTCATTAGAGGCTAGGCTAGTCTAGCTCTTCAATTGTAGGGGCTGAGCGCCATATGGGAGAGCGGACATTGGAACATTGATGGAGGTGGCGAGAAGAGGGCGACATTGTCAATTGTCTTCACTGCTTTGCTCTTATTTGGTGTATATCTTGGTGCACTCTGCTTTCTGTTCGAGCTCATGGCTTTCTGGGTTTCATTGGAATGATGCAATTTGGTTTCTGCCATTCGCGCTGCTCATTTTCCTTGCAGTACCTTCAATTTCCATTAAAAATGAAAGTCTTAGAGCATTCTCGTACTAGGAGTTACTTCTGCTGAATCTGCTTGAAATCACCGTGAGATACACAGAGGGAATTTCTAGTGTGAGTGTGCATATGGAGACCAGCGGATACTTACACTACCACTTTTCCGACTGCATCCGATGGATTGATCCACATGTGGAAACGGGGAATGTGCCTAAGCTTGTTCTTCCACACCACACACCAGCCATTTTCACATGTTGACATTTTCATACGTGGATAGATACATCTGATTCAACAATTGTCCTAGTGTGAGTATGCCTTTACAATCTCGGGATCCGTCTCCCTCCTTTAGGAAATCAACGGCTTGCCTTCCAGCTGTTTGTCACAAGGTGATTTCCCTTTCAGGAAGAAATGAATCAAATCGAGCTGAAAACAACAAGGCCTTACCAATTTTGAAACAGAAACAAATCTCTCTTCCAATGGATCCACTAACAAGAAAATGCAAGGAAAGGGTTCAAAAATAAACACAAAGGACCATACTCTCTCTCTCTCTCTCTCTCTCTCTCTCTCTCTCTCTCTCTCTCTCTCTCTCTCTCTCTCTCTCTCTCTCTCTCTCTCTCTCTCTCCCTCCTGGGAGTTCATAGCTGCGATGGTGGGAAACAAGACGTGATCATTGCAGTGAGCAGCCGATCTCTTCGGTCAATCAATAAAGATCCTGACAACTTTGACTACCAACCCTAGGGACGTAAAAAAGTCATCGGATCGATCATCGAAGATCCTACTGCCGTCTTCAGCTCGGTCTTTATAGCTGTATTTTATGCAACTTTCTGTCTAGATACAGCGATAATGACCGGCCATTCTATTGGGGTGAAGACGGCAGGGTTTGCAAGCTCGTTCCCCAGGATTGATCACGACCATTAGATCACTGAAGATGGCACAATTAATCAAGGAAAGCGATTCGTTCGTCAAGAACTCTATGATCAATCAAGAAAAAGCAATTTCTCGATGGTCGAAACCCTCCAAATCCCCCACCCTGGTCATTGAAGTCTCCATGATCGATCAAGGCAGGCCAGTCATTCTATCTCCAAGGACCGCAGGATCTCTAGGATATTGACTGTACCTCGATCAAGGCCATTCAATTTTGACCGTCTTCACCCGAATAAAACGCCCTGTCATTATCGCTGTATCTTGACCAAAAGTTGCATTAAATACAGCTATAATGACCGACTCAGAGGTGAAGACGGTAGTAGGATCTTCGACGATTGATCCAATGACTTTCATTCTTTGCTCCTGGAGATCCTCGAATGGCCTTGATCGATCTTGGAAATGTCTACAATCAATATCCTGGAGATCCAGCGATCTTCAAAGATCGAACGAACGGCCTTCCTTGATCAATCTTGGAGACTTCAACGACCAAGATCGGGGATGCTGACAGTTTCTACGATCAAATGAATGGCCTTTCTTGATCGATCATGGAGTTCTTCATGATTGAAGCGCGTTCCTTGATCTGTCCTACGATCTTCGGCAATCCAACGGTCTTGACTGACCCTGGGGAACAAGCTTGCAAACCCTTCCGTCTTCACTAGAATAGAATGCCCTGTCATTATCGCTGTATCTAGACTGAAAGTTGCATAAAATGCAGCTATAATGACCGACTCGGAGGTGAAGACGGTAGTAGGATCTTCGACGATCGATCCAATAACTTCCCTTGTTCGATCCTGGAGATCCTTCCTTAGATCTTTTCTTTTTGTTTTGTTTTCCTGCGATCTTTGACAATCTATCGAGCGGCCGTCCTAGATTGATCCTGGGGACTTTGAAATCCTGCGATCTTCGACAATTGAACGCATGGCCTTCCTTGATCGATCGTGGGATCTTCAACGATCGAATGGCCTTGAGATCTTTCCCAGCCTTTCGTTTTTAAGTTTGATTTTCATCTGATATCTTGCGTTTATGAAAACGGAAGCGATCACTTCGAAAAACAAGTGATGTAGTGCTGTTGGTTTTCTGATGCCTTTCTTTTGATCACTTGGGATACACTCATTGCTCCCATCGACCGTACGTAATTTTGATTCATAGATTGCAATTGATTAGCATTCAAACTATTTACCATTCCATCACACCATTTCGATGCTCCAGACACACTTGAAGAAGTGTTTGCTGTACGAAAAATGCTTTTGCCTGAAACAAATAAAAAGGATATGCAAAAATAACCTAGTTTGGAGTCTTCGGACTGGATTAACGCAAATATGGCGAAGTGACAATAATCGGACCCATTCAAAGAGATCGTAAATATGGGAGTTATATGCTAGGCAGCAACCCTGGATATCCGGCAACCTGGTTAATCCAGTTTACCCGACCAGGTGAACAGGGCCGGATTAAACCGGATTTTTTTTAATCCAGGGTCTGCGCAAAATATTTGCAGGCTTTTTTTTGGACATAGGGGTCCGATAGCGGGGGTTGATTGACCGTGCGACCCTCTGTTCCCGCAACCCGAACTGGAGTAGGCCCTACAGATTTTGGAAAAGAAACAGGCCCGATCTGGACTGTCAATTGTCGAAGATCGATGGCCCAGATCGGGCCTTTTAAATTTGAAATGTGCAGGGTCTGGAGACCACCCCACCGCCCCTGCAAGACAACGGCCCCCGGCCGGTACCCCTCCGTCGCCGCCCGTGACTGCGCCAGCCAGCGTCTTCCACGTGCTGCGTGCGAGTGCGTGCATCGCCGCCTCCAGTCATCGCCACTGCAGTGCTTCAGCCCCACGTGCATTGCCGCCTCCCGGTAAGTTCTTCTTCTTCTTCTTCTTCTTCTTCTTCTTCTTCTTCTTCTTCTTCTTCTTCTTCTTCTTCTTCTTCCTCCTCCTCCTCCTCCTCCTCCTCCTCCTC